TGAGACACTTCTTTGAAGTGCATCCAACTTTGTCAGAGAATGTCAGACAGTAAATAAACTCTCATAAAACATGAAAATTGAATTATCCTGTTTATCAGAAAGTATGATTTCCTTTGCTAGCTTGTTAGCATACCGTCTGTGCAGGGGCTTGCAAAGACCTGAAGTTGTTTCTGTTCTGGATGCAGTTTGCATTTTACCGTTACGCTCTCGTACTGTTGTGCAATAAAAAATAAATAAAGGTAATGTACATATCCAGGCTGTAGACTGTGCTATTATTTTTCTCCTCTGGCACACAAACTGAAATCAGCTGATTGTGGTGCAAGTGCAAATGGAACCAATAAGTGGGCTCGACGGACAAACACACTAACAATTCCAAGGAATTGAAGTACTTGGGACCGGTTCTCTACAAGAACTAACATTCCTACTTATAATTGTCACTTTTCAATATTTTTAGCAACATCTAGGTGTTTAGAATTTCCTGTTTCATTGAGAATATTCCAGAGATTTCCCAAAGTATTCTATTGCAGGACAGAGTTGAAGAAAAACTATTCAAACGAGACAAACTAGACAAACTAAGTGTTTTTATTGTATTATAAATACTATAATCAGGCTTTGATCTTTCAAATGAAAAACAGGAAAACTTCTTTACCAGCCTCTGTGTGTTTATGTGTGTGTGTGTGTGTGTAGCAGAAAAAAAGAATCGGTGTGGATGTTAAGGGGAGCGACATCAATTACAACGCAAAACTGTTGTCACAGGGGCTTATCTGCTGAGATGAAAGCAGAGCATGCCTCCCTCTAAAAGTGCAATACTGCGCACACCTGCCAAGCTAGAGAGACCTCTTGACAGAATTTTCTTTTTTATTATTATCTCTTTTCCATGCTACTTCAGTAAACAAGCCACTGGCAAGTCATTAAGCTTAATACCAGAAAAGGCAGGAAAAGGCACCCTGGAAAAGTTAACAACCAAGAAACAAAGGAACTGTTGTCAAGAACTGTGTCAAATGAAGAAAAAAAAAACAATCCTTATTATTGCTAGGCACTTACATGGATGGAAGCAATCAGGTGCTATTAGCCTATGTTGACACATCTCACTCTTCTTAGGAACAATGAAACACACACACGAAGGCACACAAAGCTTTTAGCCCGTTTCATTTTGTGACCTGCAATCCATATTTCAATATCAATTCAAGTTGCTGAACTAAAGTGCATCTTGGTTTAATTAGACTCAAGAAGTTCAATGTCAAATAATTGTTTTGTAAAACCTCACCGTGCACTGCATTTGCATAAAACAATGTGATTAACTCAGAGTTACAATACAGGCACACAAAGTTTCCCCAAAGGAAAAGAAAAAAAAAATTAGAACCATCCAGAAAAAAAGACATCTTTTGAAAATCTAAAACACCTGCTAATGGTATGATGGATCGCAGGGAGGAACAATATACTCATGTAATCCTGGTGAACATTTCTTCAGCAGAAAAGTGCCTCTAGCTGCTGGCACAAGTCTTCTTCAATAGGTGAATGATTGGTGCAGGCTAAAAAACACTGCGGCTAACATTCAATCAGAGTGTAAAGACAGCTAGTGCCAGAACCACAAACAGGATTTCCCCACTTCCAAAACACAGCGCTGAGGGTTTGGAAGGAGAAGTAAAAAAATGACGAAATGAGCCAAGTCTTGGTCATTATGGCAGAATAAGAGTGCCTGCATGTTACCACGCTTACCAAGAGAGCTTGGTGCTATCTTGACATTACTTTAATTGGAAACACTGAAGCTAATATTTTAGTTGGCCAACTGACCCCTGCCTCACACACTGTGCAACTGCCATAACAACAACTATCCATATAGCGGTTGTGATGATAGAAAAAAGGACGAGATTACAGCCGCTTTAATGTTAAATAAATGGTAAACAGAACCGTTGTGACTGTTGCAGGCAGAACGTGTTTGTCATTTCCACTCTCTACAATTAAACGGTGCATTGTTGTTTATCATTAAAAATAACAGCAAGATGCCCCGCTGCCCGCCCACAGCTTTTCCCAGGTCGTTAAAACTTACTTCTTACAGGCTCGCAATAATTAGGCTTCTCCTCCATCACGTGACTCGGTCCTTCGGCGGCTGGTTTCCTGGGAGATGATGTTCTCCCTGATGATTCATTGTCACGAGCATCTAGGGTCACAAGAATTTAACGTCAAACAGAGCTGATGAAGAAAAACCCGCCGCACGGAGAGTTGCGCAAACTAAGTACTGTGCTGCATGGTGACCGACAAGACGGGGTCGCTTAGTTTAATTTCATGCTATTAAGGACTCAGCTGTTCATTCCTTTAAAATAAAATAAAACAAAATAAAAAAAACAGATGTAAACTTTAAGTGTAGAGTTGGCCACGGAGGACAGAATATCAGGGACAGCTGGATGATCCAGAGGTGCGGAGGCCGCTCAGCATGTTTTTGCCAGAAAAAACAGGCCACTGGCAAACTGCACAACATTGAGGGGCGGTTCAGGTAAAGGCCTTGCCAGAGCTCTGGATCTCATTTTCTCTCCTTTTGCTCCCGGGCGTGCTCTACCTGCCAAGCTTTTTAACTGCCATAAAAGGCTGCATTCATCTAAATTGGAAAAAGTATGTTGGCAAAAAGAAGAAGAAGAAGAAGAAGAGAAAAAAAATCTTACAGCCTGATAGATGCGCAAATGCACAAGAGACAGCTTCACTCATCTGCCTAACCCGTTTCTTCTGGCCTCTTGACTTCAAGGCTCGCTCAGGCTTCGCTCACTGCACACTGCTGCTTTGTTCGGTAAATAAACCTTCCACAATGACTTTATTCACTGGTTTGGAGCCAGATGCCTACTCATAGGCCATAGTTTTGGGGGATTTTTTCCCCTTAAAACTGAAAGTTTTTCAGTGCCGTCGTGTAGCTCGAGCCTTCAGCTCGGTGAAGATTGATTCAACAAACCTAAAAAAAAAGAATCACATTTACAGAAGCCTTGCTCCCATACTCCCATACAACACACCCTGTGTTTGTAAGCAAGTGATGGATGGGGCAGCGTAACAGATGAGTGCGGGCCAGAAACTCTGCCCAGACAGATATGGCACATTTCTCACCTCGGGGGGGGGGGGGCTAATGTATGGTAGTGGCGGTGATGTTAGCAGCAGTTCTGTGTGATGCATCGCAGTATTTAGTGATCACAGTTAGAAATAAATTGCTCTATTCTCTGTACATCCGCAGTCCCCCGAGAGGGGAAATCTAGTCCTAACTCCAAGTGCCTTTGAAGGTCCAGCAAAAAAAAAAAAAAATCCATTCACAACCCAACAGCCCCAGTGATTGCTTACTTTGTCCTACTTTACTATTTTCTGACAGTGCCATAATGATGCTTGGTATAAATAGGATGGTTAATGGTTCATTGCTTGTTTGAAGAAAAATGAAAAGGGGGTGTGGGGGGGTAAGCTTATTTTACATGTGATAATCTTAGGGGCAACTAGAAAGTTAATTAAAAACTATAATTGGCTGTGGTTGCTGTTAATAGTCACTAGGGCGTTTCTGCAGACTTTATTGGGGGAAAAAAACAAAAAAAAACCCCACAAACACTATCGAGCTTAAAGCTGGAGCAGAGATACTGATGCACACCAAAAGTCACATGAATATAATATAGAAAGCAAGTCTGTGATTGTCCAGAGCAGACTGAAAAATCCTGATATGCCAATCATCTGTAGCACACATCCACTGGCTTGTCTTTAGGATTTGCTTTTTAGCATGAGTTTCTGACTGAGTATGACACTATATTTAGAGCTCACTTTCATTACTGGTATGCTGGCAGCTAGGATTGAAAATAAAAAAAACCCTCCATAAACATGTGCACCAGAGGCTGGTGTTATATAGGAGGGTTTTTTTCCCTTTTTTTTTCCTTTGGATTGGATGTTTTAAGTGGGTAAGCTTGGCTTGAATGTGGGTAAAAGGTTCATTTTAAATGTGATTGGTGGATCTGAACCAGTACAGAGCCAACATATTCTGACAAAAAGCTAATTAGATCTTACAAAAGCACCTCTCTCATCCTCCCAAACCCTCTCAAGGATAAATACACCTGACTTATGTAACTGAAATTGTATGTTTCTAAATCAATCGGTTTTCACTTTAGGTCCATTCTGTGTTTTCTTACCATGTGTGGCTGACAGCAGGGGACTTGTCTCCTGCCCTGGGCCCTTCGCTGGCTCTGCCAGCCCATCCGGATGAAGGACAGTCTCCTTGGACATGAGACAGTCGTCTTTTGGGGGGAAACAAAACAGCAGAAGTAGTTTCTCCCTGTCCTCAGCCTTCAATGCTGTGAAAACCAACGCCTCATCATCAGCACAGGCTTGAAGACACAAATAAAAAATGTTTTAAACAAACGCGCAGGTCAACTCGAGAAAGTCGCCAACTTATTCACGCAGCGAGAAAAGTGACGTCGCGCTCCAGAAAGTCTTAGTCGAAATTTCCCTTTTTGTCGTATTTTTTTTAAAACATAAACTTACTGCAAAACTTCACATGGCGTTCATTTATTCACATACACACTATTTTCTATATATATAAACGCTTTAATTGTTCTAACCGTTATTTACGGCAAAAGGCGACACGAAGGACAATTTACCTTTCAAACATGACAACTCCGGTGCTTCAGAAGTGATTTATTCCCATCCTCGCTTCCTCCAACTCGTTTCCCGAGACGTTAGGAAGAGAAAGGAAACTGGGTGAAGGAGTAGCTTCGAGTCCAAAAACTTTTCCGTAAGTTTAGTTGGCAGTGTAACCGGGTCTCTGCTCGGTCCAGATGTTGTTGACGTGCAAAAAAACATGAATAATAATCCTCGCGACGCCCTCGACGCTCAGTGGCGGTAGTTTACTGAGGAAAGCTGCGTCTAAAACATTTTCATCATATCCGCATTCCTGCGCCACCACAGCCAGAGAAGCCACTCTTCTCTGCCTTTGCTACTCTTGGCGGCGGAGAGGAGAACAAGGCCCTCCCTGAACATGTGTCCCCAAAAATAAAGTTAGGAAAAAGTGAGTAATCACGTAAAATATATATTTTTTCAAATATATATGTTGGCATAATAAAAAATATATACAATTTTATTTTAAAAAATGAACATATTTTTGCATATGTAATAGAGTCATGAGAAATTCAAGTAAAAGTCAAAACATTTTGGTTCTCACAAGATTGCTTTCATTAGTGTCTCTTCTTCCAGGATGACAGTACTCCCATCCAAAGGGAGTGAGATGTCACTGAATGGTTTAAACACTATGACAGTGGTGGCAAATTCTCAGGTCTTTGCACTCAAGCGGTGCAGATAGTGCTCTCTGAAACCATCATCTGAAAAGCAGATGAGGGAATGTATTTTGAAGGAATTGTGTTCCATTCCTGCAGCAGACTTCCAGAGACTTGGAGAATCATTGCCAAGGCAAGCTGAAGCTGTGACATGATGACCCAGTTATTGAGACACTTATTGTTGGTTTGTGTTTTATTTTCCTTATTTTTGTAAATGAATTTGGTTTGTTTGGAAATAAAAACAGAATCCAGTGATTTCCAAATTTCACAAATCTGTATCTTATTCATATCATGTGTTTAAACTGAGAAATTTGATAATTTAAATAAATTAATAGGGTCATTTTGAGTTTGATGGTGGTAACATAGCTCAAAAATGTTGGTAAAAAAGTAAATGCCACTAAAAACAAACAGCTGGAGGAACACTCTGCAGCCAATTCGTTTAACTGCTAACATGTTACAAACATGACTGGGTACAATGATATATTCAAAATTTGAAGTTTTTATGAAAAACATAAACAAAAAGATGAATGATTTGTTAGTTAAAGCTTGAAAGTATATACAGGTTTTAGACCAACATATGATCCTGTGACAAAGTGGTTACACTTAAACTCAGTTACCACTTGTCCCTTAACCATATTGATAATTTATCTAAATTCATCTTTTTTTGTACAGTTGGCCATAATACTAACTTTGCTTTACATACTATCCCGGGTTGATTTGTGGTAGCACTAGTTACATCCATTACATCTATGCATATGTTTTTAAAGCAAATACCACTAATCAACAAGTCATTTGAATTTTCTTCTGTTCACAGGTAAATTTCTAATAAATTATGTTTGCTTATGTTGCTTTGGTTATATTTACCATGTTTGTCAATTTGTTCAGGTCCTATATCTAAAACAGGTGTGTGGGAGGGGCTGCCCCAGTACCTCCTGTTTATATAGGGTTTTTGTTTAGAATCGTATTGTTTGGTCTAACCCATTTTTCAATAGTAGAGACTAATGAGGTTCAAGTGTGTGTAAAGTCCTGTATACAGCAAGTGAGATTTTGCCTACCAGGCTTTAAAATGGTATGATGGAGATGCCAGAAATAAAGTACACTTAAAAGAAACTGATGCCGTTGCTGTCTACTTATCACCTTCCTTGCCACTTGGTCTACACTACCTCACAGCTCCCATCCAGATCACATCTTTTTCAAGGTCAGGCCTTGCATATTTCACCAAGATAAGACCTTCCACCCACTCAAAACATTTGCACCGCATGAAAAGAAATTTGGGTAAAAGAAGAGTCAGGATTGTTGAAAAACTAGAAAGTATATAGGTCACCTGCACCTATGACCAATTTATAACCCCCAATTAATCTAGCCCCATTGTGGCAGGAAGCAAGAGTACCCAGAAAGGATCTATGCAGACAGGGAGAACATGGAAATTCCACACAGGAAAGCCCCAGCTGGTTAGTGGATTTGAACCATCTTGCTGTAAGGCAAGAGTACAAACTACTCCACCATTGACATTTTACTTGAAATTTGACCCTCTTGGAGCATCTGTAGCTTATAACTCAAAATGTGACCAAACCTGGCAAGGCACTGTGGTGTTTTCTGTCATCTGCCTTTTCAATTATGATGTAATGGGATGGTGTTTTTTTTCTGTACAGGTACTGGCACACAGCCTTTCTTACTTACCTTCATGTTTCCCAATTTGTTTTAGTACTTCCTGTCTATGTTTTGTGTGGCAAACATTGCAAGTCATTCCTCCCATTGCTCATTCGGTTGCCAGATTGTCCTTCAAGTCACTGTCGTCAAGCTTTCCAGTTGTTCTTGCCATTCAATATTTTATTTTATCCAAGTACCTGTATGAGATTGTGGGTTGGATCTCTGTCAGCCTCAGTATTAAACTCCCCTTTGCATACCTAAAGAAAATAGACAAAATAGCTGTGGTAAATCAACCACGAAGATGGACAACATGTGTCAAAAGTTGAAAACTGTAAATATGCAACAGAATAATAATCGCAACAACCTTTTTAGCTCCAACTTTATCTTTTATCTTTCTCCATTTCAATTCAAATATAATTTTCTTCACATAAATGGGAGCAGAGTCCTGTGCTGTGTCCTCTCTATAGTCAGCAGGGTATTGTTAGTGCAGATTCTTGCTGATTGCCATCATAGCCATTGAACCCTATTGGTAACAATATAAGTGAGATTTAAGCCTTGGTAACATGAGAGTGTGGAGGTGATTGATGTGAAATATGCCCTCCCTCATTGACTGGATGAACTCCATTTTCTGCTCCTAATGCAGAAATCACTCAGGGTCCCCAGCATAATGATTTACGATGAATCTGTGTCAATGTTGAACTCGGCAAACCCCACGTAATCCATCTTGCAGATATACCTACCTACCCCGCCCCACCTTGCCAGCTCTCACCCGCCCGTCCCTTGCCTTCACGATAGGAAGGTAAGGAATGTGTGTCTCTGTCTCGCTCCCTCCCTCTCTCTATGTCTATAAGTGTTGAATCCATTACAGGCCTGATGTGTAATCACAGAGGACCTCTGTGCCCCCTTAGACTGTAATTACCTGGATACAGATACTCCCTCACTCCATCCTCTAGAGCTGCTCAAAGCCAACAACTCCATTAACCAGCATGCAGTGCTTTCAGCCTGCCTGACTGGGTGCCAAATGTAGAGATACAGTTGAAAGGGGGGAAAAAAGTTAAATTTTCATTTAAATAATATGAATTTGGCCTCGGGAGTGTGTAATGGTCACAGTTCAGCTTCTGGATAAAACACAAACAGATTAAAGCCTATACTTGAAGGGTCCCTCCTCGACGTATGGTAATCTTTTGAAGACTGTACATGCAACGTAAGTGCACCGTGAAATCAACCCCTGTTGTCAGTCTTTGTCTCTCTTACATAGTGACACTGCTGTTGCTGCTGACAAACATTATCTTGTGTGTGATCATGTGCACAGTGTCATTCCCCACTCCCTCCCTGCCTCCTTTTTTTTTTTTTTTTCAAAATAAGTCAAAGTGGAGCTGGCTGTGTAGACACAGTGGGTTGTCACAGTGTGTCAAGCGCTGGTGTCAGCATTGCATCTGTTGCAGTCACATCTCAGAAGACACAAGGAAGCATCTCTCTGTTGACTTCATCTGTTTGTTTGGCAGCTTGCCTGATTGCTAGAGTGTGTAGTGGCGAAGAGAAGCGCCGGCTCAGTCGGTGCACACGCTGCCGACAAGTCTAATCCTCCTTTGCCGAGTAAGGAGGGAGCCCAGCCCCAAACAAATACTGCAACTCCAGGCTACCATGTATTTCATCTTCCACACTGCACACCCTCTATGTGTCTTTAATATAATTACATATATAATTTATGTATAATAAATCAATTTTCTTTTTCCTTCTAAAAAAAGGAAAAAGAAATACACATTCGTTTTTTGGTTGGAGTCATCTACCATCTACCAGTCAGCATGGTGGTACAATGGTCAGCATTATCACTTTACAGCTGTAGGGTCCTGGTTCAAATCCACCAATAATTGGTGATCATAAAATGGCCATAGGTGTGAATAGTTGTGTGTTGGCTCTGTGACAGACTGGTGACCTCTCCAGGATATACTCCTTGTCCTCACGAACCTGGATTAGATAAGTGGAGGAAAATGCATGGAACTCTTTAATACACTGTTATGTGATGGTGTGTATCGTTTTTTTTTATTATTTTATATTTTTGGTTTCATAAACATTGATATTTAATTTTAGACCCTTTGACTTCAGCACAAATATTTGCTGAGCATTGATCTGATTTCCAGGAATTCGTTCATACAAACAGTCTGGCTAGCTCTGTATAAAAGAAAAATGGCCTAGTTAATGTCATGCTTGCAACAGCTGACTGACGAATTAGAGTTTGGTATTTCGACAGATGTCATTTGCCGCCCACCGTGAAAAAGTTGACCAATCGTCATGCTAGCTAGCTTAGTTAGCTAGCCATATCCAAAATTCACCACGATGTGCTAATTTTGGCTAGCAAAAAACAGTCCTATAATAAACTGGATTATCCTTACCTGTGATTTCTGCCATGAGCCCAGTACACAGTAAGCAATAAAAAAGATCACCCCAGTACAGTAGGCATGTTATTAGTAGTAAGGTGTTTTAACATAAGATTCCAGTAGTGTTAACTGAGTTTCAAAACAAGGCTCTGCAGATTTCTGGAACCTCTTCCTAAACTTAATTTAATCCTAGAGATTTCTAAGCTAACTAGCACCTTCCTCCATATATATACACATATATATCACTAATAAACAACCTTTTTGTTGTGATTGTTTGATTTAAACTTTTATATATGTAAAGGATTTCATTTTCCCTGAATGCTCAATGCAGCTTTAAAAATATTCATAATGGGACTGCAAAGCTTTAGCATTCCAAGTATATAGTTAGGTGATCTGTATGATTAACTGTGAGTCTCCACTCTTATCATGAGCTTGCTAATCTCATTTGTTTTTCGAGGAAACTTTTGTACAACTCTTTCAGAAACTGAGCTGACAATGAGAGATAGCTTTAGGACAGAATATCTGTAATTAGCCCTAATGAGCTTATTTCTTAGCACCCTGCAGTTGTAATAGAAATGCAAAAATTGGCCCACATTGCTCTCTGCATTGACTTTAATGGCCAGGCGAAAGAGTTGAGCTGTCATTTTGAAC